TGAACCAAACTCAATTTTGTTATTTTTATTATTGTCATTTTGTACTTCGAATATTTTTGACTTTATATCGTGAACTTGGACTAATTCCTCTGGTAAATTTTGTTTTAATTTTTAATTTTATTCATATTTTGAGTAAATCAGATGGAATATTGTGACAAATGCTGAGAATTCCATTCTGTATTACAAGTACTGTCTGTTTTGGAATAAAGTAGATTATTATTATTAGCCTTGTAACCAGAAGGTTATGGCTTTGAACTTTGCCGGTGGACGCGCACTGATGGAGAGTCCCAAACTAGGCTGACAAAACAGCTAGCTGACAAGTACTTTCTGCCAGGTTTCTCAATGGTCTTTTAACCGATGTCAGCTTATGATGAAATCCTGAAACCAACCAATTAAATCCCTGCGTACAAACACTTGAATACAGAATATTTGTTTCATATCTGACCACGGAATGATATCAGTTAGAGAACCATTGAAAACCAGCTGGAAGCATTAGACAGCCATTACCATCCTGGTTAGGAATTCATCAGCAGTACGCATCCGGGATCTTTTGGTTACAAGGCCAACTTCTATTGATTCGTGACTTTAGCGTGAGGAAGTTTCCTGGAATTCGTATAGGTTCGTGTAGTTTCCATCCGTTTGGGAGTGGAGACAATTACCCGCCAATGACACTGGTTTGCGGTCGCGTTAAAATCACCAGTTAGTACAGTTCATGGATAAGCCATTGAATCGTGTCCCAGTGGCTGAAATATCGGCGAACTTGACTTGTAAGTAGAAGGTTCTTGGCTCAAAATCCAGTAGATGCGCACCGGAGATGTGTTCCAAATTTTGAATTTGATCTGTACAGTGGAAACATTATATCATTAATATTATATTGCGGAAGAAGATACACAACCAGCTTGCAAGTTCCACCTACCTCAACCTGGGGGACTGGATAGCATCATACGGACACACAAACACGCGTACCAAGTGGAGATTATCGTCTGTTACAGGATACATCCACTCCAGGTATCTAAGTTAAAGCAATAAATACATCCATCGATTCATCCTGTGAGTATATGTATGATCTAATTGCTTCAGTTGGTTGGACTTTGTGGCTTTCGTTTCATCCTATTCAGAACTCTCCGTTCGGATGTATACTCGATCCCAACCAGTGCTTAAATCGTTGTGTTCCCACTGAAACGTGTCGATATTTAAAACAATGTATGTTTAGATGACCAGTTGACAACAAATGAACCTTTTGAAATGCACGTATGTCATTAAATTGTATAAATCAAACCGAATAGCTGTAAATATGGATTTTCATTTAAAGCTATAAAGTTATTCAAAAAAGACAACAACATAAACTACCAGCCAACTTAAATTTAAATTTTCGGGGATTGATTTGTAAGGATTAGATTTAATTTTACGAGTTTGACCACGAATTGATTCAAAACCAGTCATAGGGAGTACTGGACAACTGTTTCATCCTAGTATGGGAATCCTCAGCAGGGTTCAAATCCAGGACTTTCCCGCAAACCATACAGCCACTGAGACCCCCCCCCCCGATTCAATGGTTATTTATTATTATTATTGTATCCTTTAGTTCCTAGAGGAACATAGGGCTTCAGCTGAGCACCTCCATTGACTTCGGTTTTCTGACAACTTTTTCACCCTGCTCCAGGTCTGTCCACATGCTTTCATCTCCTCCTCGCATGACCTCCTCCAAGTCACCCTTGGACGACCAACTCGCCGCCTCCCTTTCGGGTTCCACTCGAGCAATGGTTTGTCTAGTGATGTCACTTGATGCTTTCCTCAACGTATGGCCAATCCATCTCCATTTCTTTCTGCCTATTTGTTCCACAATCGGTTCCTGATTGGTTCGCTCCCAGAGATCCCTGTTGCTAATCTTTTCTGGCCATCTGATCTTGAGTACTGAGCGAAGACAGCCGTTAATGAAGGTCTGAAGTTTGTTTGAGATGCTCTTTATGAGTCGCCAAGTTTCTGATCCGTATAGTAGCACTGACTTTACATTGGAGTTGAAGATCCGAATCTTATTTTTGATGCTGAGTGCTGTTGACCTCCACACAGATTTGAGAGTAATGAAAGCTTGTCTTGCTTTTCCGATTCTGGCTTTGATATCCTCGTCAGTTCCGCCTGTAGTTGAGACGACGCTTCCCAGGTA